CCTTAGGACAGCCCCGTCATGAAGCCCATTTGCAAGTTTTCCTATTTGAGTTGGTAATGCAAATATTTAGGGAGACTATAGTCCCTCTATATTTTGAACCATCAATGTCAAGTAATACCATGTTGTTTCTCTAAATATGGGCTCCCTGGTCCGCACTGGATGGCCTTTCATTCTACTGGGTTGCTATTGGAATGGCTCCTGCCCTTGAACTTACCTTCAGCCCAGAGAAACGAGAGTGTGCTGACAGGGGCTGGCGAGGACACTGAAGTGGCTCAGAAGGAAGTGGGGGCCACCTAACACCAGTTAAGAAGGGGCATTGTTTCACACCCCATCATAAACAAAAATGCAGGGGAGAGGGCAGTACTTGGCCCTCCTGCCCCTGGCACAAGATGGTTAAGTGTTCCTCCTCCTTGGCTGCCCTCGATGATATAACCTGTCAACATCATCCCTGGTCATACAGCACCCTGGTATCTCCAACCACTAAAACCCAGAGAGCTTACAGATGATGACAGGGCCGTGAGGCGTCTGAGCACAAGGCCTATACTTACTTAACTACACCCCAAACCCCTCCATTCATAGCTCCGGAGCAACACCCGCATCTTATCAGTTTTAGGGGGTGATTACATAATTCCAGGAAATGGGGGCCTTTGCAGGAGGCGGGGAGTAGAAATCCCAATTCTGTCCATCCTGCCACCTTGGAACGTTCCACACAGCATGCTCAGCTTGTGGGACACAGGAGAAGCAGCTGTCCCAGCCTGGATTGTCAAGTCTTTACCTGCGGTCAGGCACCCTGATGGGTAAGCTGTGCATCTGAAAGCCCCTAGAGGGATGTAGGAAGGCTGGCTCATGTGTGGGATTCCTGGCAGCAAAGGAGAGCAGGCTGGAGAGGACACCACTCTACATCTGAGGCTTGGACATCTACGCTCACATCTGTTGCAAAGGGATGTCCTCTGACAGTGAAGCCCTCGGGTATGAGAGCCCCAGGTGCAGGCAGTGCCCCTGATAAATGGTGGCCTTGGCTGAGAGCTCATGCGGCCCGCTGAGTTCTACTTCTGGCTCACTTTAACTCCGCAGCATACCTAACTGTATATTAAAGAATACAATCTTGTTATCCTTTATCTTTCAGGGAAGAACGAGGTTAAATTACACACATATACATAAAATGTACATGGGTATGCTCTGAGTGCAATGCATTACAGGTATGTATAGAGTTGTTATCAAGGAAACAAACAGAAAAAGAAATGACTAACATCTACACTGAGGAGGGCACTGTGTGTCATTCTGTGGCTTCATGAGGACCTGACAGAGCTGTTGTCCTTACAAAGGGTGCATGGTCAAGTCCAAGGCACTCAGCTCCTCAAGGAAAAGTGGCCTCTGCCCTCAGGTGGGCCTGCCTCCAGCAACTTCTCCTTTCATTATTTAGCAAGTTAACAGAGTTGGAGGTCTGTGGAAAGTACAAACACCCAATGCCCAGAAACGGAAATTCCAGTATCAGCAATGTCACGATACTCAGGCCATTCACTAGGCCCCTCGGTTCCCAGTTCTGCATCTATTAAAGAACAACAATCCTGCCCTGTCTCACAGACAGCAGGCCTTCACAGCCACAGGAGGTAACAGATGTGGACATGTGTTGACATACACAGTACGCTTTTTTCCTATTAGCTGAGTTTGAATGTGGTAGGGCAGGCAAGGTAGTCGGAAAATTTCCTAAGAGGATTTGAATCCAGAAAATATCAACGTTTCAGCTCTTTGACCCTGTTTCTCCTCCCTCGAACCCAATCAAAGCCACTCTGGCTGCCCTTTCTCTCATGTCTCCACGCCTGCAGCCCTGTTTGCCAGGCTCAGCGTTCCAAGATGCATTACAAGGATTTCAGGAAAAGTCAGGCCAGGGTGGCCTCCTACCTCGACACCTCCCCACCCCATCTGCTCTTTGCTGCCCCATCCTGGGGCCTGTGGCTGGGGTATCCGTGACTCTGAGAGCAGTATTTCCATGATGGGATTCCATGGGCCAGAAGGACGCTATATATGGCCATGGATTGTATTTCAGTGCTGGCAGCTCATCAAGTCAGAGCTGCACTGCTTCTCCCTTCCCCCCTCCCTTTTAAATGTACAAACAACTCTGTGAACCTTGGTGATTTATTTCCACATTAAGAACTCAATTCCTTGGGAAAAAAACCCAAAACTGAACAAGGCAATTTCCCAGCTGCAACATGCCACAGTTGACATCTTCGGGGAGTGTCAAAAAGTACAAGAACTGGAATGTGGAAATCAAGGTGGGGGCAGGGGAGGGCCTTCTAAGCTTTGTTCTCACAATGGGGGTTGGGGGGCATGAACAGTGTTATCTGATAATCACCCAAAGTTAAAGGATGGTTAAAGCAGAACATCTGGGAAAGCACTATTCAAACATGAGGTTGAACAAAGCTTTTTGTTTTCCACTTTTTGGACCTTAATTTTTTAAGTTTAAAAATTTCACACCTTTCTCTTGTTTAATGTTAGAGTGCCAGGGACAGAATTAGGTTGATATTTCTTCAAATGTAGCGTCTTACAAGCCTCCATCAGAAATGAGTAAGAGAAGCAGCAGCTTTTCAGGTCCTGCAGTGTAGGGCGAGGGGCTCCGGAGGAGCCTTCCCCCAGTACCCCGCTTATCTCTCTCTCTCTCTCACACACACATACACACAGTGGCAAAGGCATCCTCTCCTTATTTTGTTGATGACTAGCTAGTGCTACACGCTGAGACACAAGCGTTTCTCCAGGGGACTTTTTTTTTTAAAGGGCAGGGTAACATCTCTTGTTACTACACTGCCAGTTAACTCATTTTCTCTGGGGCAGCCTTTCCTGCAAGTTACAGGTTACATTGTCTTTGGGGCACCCACTCAAAAGCCCTCTGAGGTGTAACGGTAAATACATAACCCAGTGAGCATGGCTCAGTTCTAACAAAACTTTATTTATAAACACTGAAATGTGGAATTTTAGAGTTGTGATATATTCCTATTTGGGTGGCTCACAGGTCATACCAGGGGCCGGAGTTTGCTGACCTCTGACCCAGGGCCGCGTGCCAGGCAGCGGCTTCCTTGATAGCCGTGGATCTGTAGGCAGGTAAGCGGCTCTCTGGAAGTTAACCTTCAGCATAGACGTCAGGAGTGCTGAGAAAGCAGGAGGCTGTACTTCACCCGTCAGCCACAATGCCGGCCACACGACAGTTGCTTAGTAGATTCTTTTGGAACTGTCTGGACCGCATGCTTAAGAAATGGCCAGACTATAGCTTAAATATGGTTTATAAATCAGAGTGGTTAAGAAGAACTTGGGCTGTAAGATAGCTGGCTTGGCTTTGGGGTCTGTGACACTCTGAGTAACCCTGGGCAGCTTACTTGAGTCTTGTTCTTTCCTCCATATGTAGAGTGACTGTAGACAGGGATAATGAGTAAGAAAAGGACATAAAGCACTTAGCACAGATTTTCATAGGTTATTAACTACAGAAAGCAAGACATCTAGTTTTGCCTTGGGTCTCAGAGACTCTTGTACAAAGAGGAGAACGGAAGATAAGAATGCCATATTTTGGGGACCCTTGCTCAGCTCAAGCCCAATTTCTCAGCACCCCGAGGCTTATTTTATTTTAAAGCATGAACTCACTAATAGGCAGAGAGCCGCCGCTGCTCAGTACAGGCCTTGGTCCACTTGCCTTTCAATTTCCTTTTTGCTTGTGGCAGTATCTGCAGCTCGCATTATTAGCTCAGCCCTGTGGTAATTTGGGTGCTTCAGATCTAGTGGGTATTAGTTGCCAGCTACTGACCCCGAAGGCAAAAGCAAATAGACAGGAAAAAAAAAAGAACAGGCCCTGGTCAGGACTAATTAGACTGTTGCTTAAAATTAAAAACTCATTTCAGAGAGAGAAACTGCTCAGCAGTGGTGACCCCATCACACCATCACCAGACAGGGAAATAGGCAATCTGTGAGCTTGTCTCACGTACCCACAGCCAAGGAATGGCTTCAGTTTACTAATGACACTGCAAGTCCCTGTACTCTGCTCCACTGCCTGTCACCTCCTTGGCAAAGCCAGCTCCATCAGGGAGGGTCTGGCCGTGTGAGGTCTTATTTATATGGACTGTGTTCTGCCTCACAGCTCGTACTCGGAGGGGAAATATCCCCAGGATTTGTGGTAGGGATGGAACAATGCCTCCAAAGAAGGAAGAGGAAAGAAGAGATTACTGTGGGAAGGAGATATAGAAGGCTTCTCCAGGCCTGCGCAAACGGTGGATAGGAAAATCTGTTTGGCCGGTGTTTGGGCTAGAACAATGCTAGCCTTTAGTCCTCATCCTCCTGATCCAGCAAGGCAGTCAGATGTGAAGATTTCATTCTCTGGTATAAGGGTGTCAGCAGTTAGCATCCCTGGCTGCCCACAGGAACAAGAAGGGGCTCTGGATTAATCCTGATGCTGGGTCTCATTTGGCATCATTAGTCATGGGCACAGGCACTGTTTACAGCTCCCACATATTTGTACTATGTAGCCAGGATTCAGAGCCTCTAGACTAGGTAAGTCCAGAGCCAACCCCAAATGCTGCAGGGACCAAGCTGTACTTGCACTGCTACTGACTGTGAAAGCACTATCTCAGGTCTCCCATGGTAGCCACAGAAGTATGTGTGTGTGTGTGTGTGTGTGTGTGTGATGAGCACACCCACCACGAACGCTGAGGACATGTGTACCAGAGGGAGCAAATAAATGTTCAATCTCTCAGGGAAGAGAAGGGAGTGTGGAAATCTTACCAAATGCACTGCCACCCACAAAGGTCTCCCCTATGCCACCCTTGACCTAGGAGGCTATATCCCAGCTTAGGGTCTCAGCACTGGCTTCTTCAAGCTCTAAACCACCAGCCTTCATAGGCACCTGCGTGTGGAGGCCCTGGCGGAGGGAGGGAAGAGCACAGAGCATCCGAGACCAACAAGAAGAGCGAACCTGCCTGGAGCAGTGGAGGAGGGAGTGAGGTGGAGAGGAGGGGCAAGGACTAGAGCTCTTGGCTTTCCGAGGACTCGATGGACTCTGAGAGTCTGGCCACCACTCGGGTCAGGGCCCTGTTTTCGGCCTGCAGTTGTTCGTTCATCTGCTTCAAGGTTTGAATCTGTTTTAGCTGGTGGAGGTTCTGTAGAGAGTTGAGACATGGAGGGGAAAGACAGACAAGACAGAGAGAGACATGACAGACCAGAGGAAATAAAAGTAGGACAAAGAGATCACATGACGTTCTATTTTTGTTTTTTTAGTTTGCATGCAAAGAAGGAAATGAGGAAGGCAGGCCATGATGAGAGCGAATGGGAGGCACGGATGGAGAGAAGCACCCGGGAGAGCAGAGCCGTGACTGATTACTGGCTAAGGTCTGGATGTGATATACAACACTATATGATAGGACCGCTGAGCACCTCAGGAAGCACATCTGGATTGTTTTTGGCAATGACAGCCTGCCATGCAGCTGAGGCCTTCTGAACTGAAGTAACTGGTTAGGCCACGGCCTCGGGGCCCTTGTTCATCATCACAGGGCCTGGGGCGGAGTCACAGGGTACACCTAAATCCACCGCTGTCCTCTCCGCTCCCCATCTTTCCTTGTTCCCCGTCCTTTATCCCTTACTTCCACCTATTTTTCTTTCTATATCCTTCTCTTATAATATTTTATTATTATTAAAAAAATAAAAGGAAAAGAGAGGGGTTTGTTTAAAGAGTTGCATATGAATGCATGTACGTTTAGAAGGATCAAGTGACATGCACCAAAACAGAAGAATGGGCAGCTCTCTGGATGTCCTCTCATCTGCTTTGTGGGCAGCTGCAGGACTCTGCTGATTCTCCTCTATAGTCCAGAGAGCTCCCGCAAGGTCTGAGAACTAGCAACTTGCCTCTGACCTGCTCTATGGTCATCTTGCTGTTGTTGTGTACCATCGAGTCGGAACTGACCCACAGCAATCCCTCCAGCAGGTTTTCCAAGGCAGTTAATTGTATGAGCGGAGACTGTCCATCCTTCTCCTGCAGAGCAGCAGGTGGATTCAAACCGCGTGACTTTGAGACTGCAGCACAGATTCTTATCACTAGCCACCAGAGCTCTGAAGGTCGTCTGTGTCACTCAACACACTCCTAACTGCACTCTCTTTGTCTCAGTTCACGCAGAGGCTGGGGACAGCTAAAAGATGTTCATGGAAAAAGGGAGCCCATGCTCTGGAGTTAGAGCTGTGCATAAAAGGGGAGAAAATCATAAATACCCAAAAAAGTTCCATATGGCTGGACTTATGTGCTAATTCAGCCTTAATATTTATCAGTGTTGCAAATGGAACAGAGTAACCAGCTCACAGATAACCCTTCTAATCCTTTTTACCTCATAAGGGAGGTAAAGACTTCATTAGATGGGATTATTTCCCAGCCTGCCTGCTCTCTAGTCCCCCATAACGAGGCATCTGCACTGACCCTGAAATCGAGACAGCTCTCTGGGACAATGATTTTGTTATGTGAATGGAGTTTCACAGGTAAGGTGGACAACAATCCTATAGATTAAAATGATGAGAAGAAAAAAGGTCTACAGGGTTCAGAAAAAGTCTCTTGTCCTCTCATAGGTGCAAATGATAGAAATGAAAGATTAGTCAGGTTATAATTGTTTGGTAGTGAAGAGGCAAGAGAATGAAAGGTAGTATGAGGGGGAAACAGTGAAAAGGAAAAACAGGCAGAGACAAACTGTTGAACGGCTCTTTTCCCATCGAGGGATAACGCCACCTTGGAAGATGGCAGGGCGGCCAAACAGGGTATGTGCTGTCGGGGGATCGGGCCTGGCAGTCCTCTCTGCCCGCTGCACGCATCTCAGCCACACAAGGGCACAGGACTGTGGCCAGGCTACAGCATATGGGAAAATTTAAAGAAATGGGCAGGGGCCAAATTTAGAAGCAACGGAAAGTCCCTGGCTCTCATCGTTCTTTGGTGTTTACATTGGGCCAAAGCTTTGAACACAATCACTGTCGTTACACTAAATGGTCCTTGCCTCCCAGAATAATATTAAAACATAAGGCATGAAAGCGACTCAATCCAACTTGTGAATGCAAGCTGATCAAAGTAGAAAAATCTGACGTCATCAGCATGAGGGAGAGAGAGGGGCAGGGAACGACCTGGTCTGAAGTTCTACAGAAGCAATCCTGGACACAGGTGTGATGAGGGGATGGAGAACAGAGCAGGGCACAGCGCAGAGTGGGCAAGGGCAGAGTGGACAGGGAGGCAAAATGAGGCTTGTGACATTTCCAGAGTAAATAAATAAATAAATAAAAATAAAAAAAATTCCAAGACCAAGTTAAAAGGCTGCTGGGCCCCGCTCATGCAAGGACCCGGGAAAGGAAGGGGAGTGAGTCTGGCAAGGAGGCAGATGCTGAATGGAGATGCAGTAGAAAAGTGAACTGGTCTGATATGGGCACATCCCAAGCCCAGCGGCGGGCCCAGTGGAGCTTACGCTGACACGCATGCATGTCAGAGCCTGGCATATCATCCTACTCCGATCCAGCATCTGTGGAGTTTCTCCCATGGGAGAAACATACTTACCTTCCGAGCAAAGGCCGGAAAGATACAACTCATGTCCCCACACCAAATCCTCCCTTCCCCACATTCACTGTCGAACCCTGGTCCACAGACGGAGCACACCACTACTACTCCCTTCCAGCCTGGGGTGCCACTTTTTCTTCGGGGGACCCACTGCTCCTAAAGGTGTGGGAATCGGTCACACGTGGAACACACAGCAAGCACGGTGGCTAACTGGCCCGAAGCTGCACCGGACCCCAGACCGACAAGACTGTCATCCGTTCTGACTGCTTACCCAGTAAGAGATTTGGGCTACTTGTCACTTCAGAGACATTAATCACCATAAACTGCCATCTGCATGAAGAGCTAGAGAGCTACCCAAACATTTTCTTCAACTCCTTTAGGGTGAGTCACACCAATTTTATGGTTGTATCTGTATTTCTGAAGCTTCTGCCTGCAAAGAAACGGACTGAGTGTCCACGTATGCTCACTCCCTGCTGAGTCTGTTCCCCCTCGGTGACCTCTCGCTGAGTTTCTGTGGCTGTAAATCACAAAAGACAACCACACCCCATCTTTCTCATGAGGGGTCTCTGGGGGATTCAAATTGCTGGACGCGTGTGGCTTTTGGAGCAGCTCAACTCACTATGGACTATGCCATTAGAACTTCAGATCAAATTTACTGCTGTTGAATCAGACCCAACTCATAGCTGACCCTCTAGTAGGTTTTCAGAGACTGTAAACAGCAAAGAGACTGCCCATATTTCTCCAAAAAAGCCACTGGTGGATTTTAATTGGTAGAGGTGCAGCCTTTGTGTTAGCAGCACAACTCCCTATAGACTACACAACCAGCACCCCTAAACATAATTTTGTTGTTGTTGTGTGCCATCGAGTCAGAACTGACTGACAGCTGACCATCCGTGCCCACGGAACAGATGGATCCGAGCCATGTGCCTTTGGGATTGTAGCACACAACTTCTTACCAGTAGGCCACCAGAGCTGCCTAAATAGAAAGATGTTGTACCGCAGAGTCAGAGCCAACCCATAGTTGACCCTCCAGTGGGTTTGCAGCAGCAATTAATCTCATGGGAGGAAATTGCCCATCTTTATCTGGAAATGTAAAGATACAACCATGAAATCGTTGTGCCAGGAGGGGCTCTGATGCCCCTCCTTCTCGTCCTCTAGGGGGAGCCGGACTGACAACCCTTTACTTAGACTTTGATTTGAGCACATGGTGGTGAGGGCTTTCAAGACTGCAGGAGGGTTTCTTCTCCACTGGCTCTGTGATTGGTAATGGAGGATAATAGCAGTTGCCTGAACGGATGGATCTATTGAAATGAAAAAGCCAGCATCGAATCTGCCTGCCTACTGCACCAGGGACTGAAGAGTCTTGATCTGGCTCCACTCGGTAATTTAAAAGGACTTGTTTAAAGGTGGCTGACTAATGGCTGCTGGCTGGCGAGAGCACACACTTCTACTGGGAATAGGAAGGGGTTCATGGTCTAGTGTAGGAAACCATAGTCTAACAGGACAAGGAAAGAGAGAGAAATATGTTAACTCTTCTTCTACATCACCCCGTGTTGTTGAGCTGGCTCTGACTTATACGGACCCTCAGGTTTCTGAGGCAGTAAATCTCTATGTGAGGAGATTGTCTAGTTTTCTCCCGAACAAGTGGCAGGTGGATTAGAACCCCTGATCTTGTGGTTGGCAACCTGGTATGTAATGTACTAAGCCACGAGGGGCTCCTTAACTCTACTTAAGAAGCCCCCCCCCCCCTATTTGCCAGTTTACAATTAGAATAGAAAAAAAAGGAGGGATTCACTTTCTCCACCGTGAACATTTCTGGCTGTGGGGTGAGCCTGAGCGGATGGGATGCGGAGCTCTGTGACGGGCAGGACGCGGCTCCGGCGTGCTCACTAGAGGGCGCCAGCTTTGGCCTCATCCGCACGCTCCTCATCAGCACAGAGGCCACTTCTTAATGAGCGTCCCTGACAGCTGTCTAGACAGATGGTCTAACTCAGGGGGTTTCAAATACAAGAAGGGACCCCTATACAACTAAGAGCTCAGGATATTCATTCATCAAGAACTGTTTAGCTCTGCTCACACACTGCTCTAAGTGGGGGAAATGCTTCTGTATGGTGAGTGAGGTGGGCCTGGAAAAACCAGAAGACAGAGAGCCTTAATGGTCTTAGGCCATACAGTTTACAGCATCTCAGAAGAATCGACTACTTCTTATTTCTGCTCTGATCAACTTGGAACATTTCAAGGGACACTGAGCTAGAAGTAGGTACTTCCGGAAATTGTATGTGGCAGCCGCCCGCCACAGTCTCGGGAAGGAACGCAGGGGCAGAGCTTGGCACGTCTCCTTTCTGGAAGTATGGAGAGTAATAGGCTTATGAGCAGTGGAACTTGTATAAACAATGGCCTTTTCAGGTCCTGAAAAGCTCCTTCAGTAAACAGCCAATTTTTTTAGGCCACTGGAACAATAAACATCTCTCCAAAGTGCTCCAACTGCATATTAGGGATGCCTGCTCACAGACGACCTGGGGACCTACCAAGTGCTTCCCAGGTGAAGAACTCCACGCTCCATAAGATGAACACTTTGTATCACATAGCCAGCAAATACAATGCTTCAAGATGAGAAAAAGCTGAGTGAGAGCTAAGTGACTGGGGCCGCTTTTAGATCACCCCTAGGTGGTCACCCCAGCAGCTCCTTATTTCCCTTACAGAGCAGGGACCTGACTCTGGTGGGCATATTTCCTGCTCTTAGCACTTAAAAGTGCCCAGTACAGCAGTTGTCCATTGAAAGGGAGATGGGTTCAGGAGTCTTGATGCCAGGCAGTGCGCCATGAAGTGTGTCTGGTGGTGTGAGCTTATTCTAGTGGGAGAGTGCCAGGTATTCCCGAATATTCCAGGGGATAGAAGTAGGGCAGGCAATCGCCATGGGCACATATCTTCATTCTGCTACAGAATGACTCACTGTGTTCCCTCTGTCAAGGGGCAGGGACAGTGAGGTAACAGAGAGGACAGTCACAGGTCCTGTTACGACCGTTCCTAATGTGGGGCTCTGCAGAGCGGAAACCCCTGTTCTAGTCCTTTCACCCAGTCCTGTGAGGCGGGGACGGTCACTGCTGGAAAACCTGAAAAGTTCACCTCACGTTTGTTTCCAGGTTTCTTGAGGTCACTCTCTAAATGCCATAATGCTACCTTTGTTCCTACAAGCGCTTTGAGGCGGCCACAGCGGATGGTGTGCGGGCTGGGAGACCTAGGAAATGGTGAGGAAAGGTGCTCATCTCCTGTTCTCATGTCATCTCGTCTTGAGGGTGCTGTGTTTGCAGTAAGATGTGGAGGGGGCAGGCCCATGCTCAAATCCATGGTCTTAGCAGGCATTCAGAGGACATGTGTACAGAGGGAAAGAAAATCTATTCATACCTTCATCTCCTCCTCCATTTCAGACATTTTCCGCTCCAAGGCTCTCCTCTCCTGTTTAAAAACAATGAGACTGCTGAGCATTTAATGGCTTTAGAAGGGAGTCAAAATGCTGCCTCCCAGCTGCTGTGTGATCAACAGCTTCACGGTCAAAGCGTTTGTCTACTGACGCAGGCAAACTTTACCCAGGAGATTTGCACACTGTCTGATTCTGCCACTTCTGGAACTACTTCACTGAGGAAAACTGAGCTTTCTAAATCTTCTCTGAGAAAATCAGAAGATAGGAGGAAAAACAACTTGTTAAAATGCAAACAGGGCAACAGCCACACACGCTAGGCTATTCTGCAGAACTAAAGACTTCATGGAATTTCAAACGACTGCAAGTGACCTTTACCCTCAATGAATAAAATGGTGTCATGGTCTGTGGTGATTCCCCCAGTTCCGAGAGAACAGCCTCTCAGGACGGGGAGCAGCAGGGGATCAGGGAAGCAGACATCATAGTCTATGAAGAAACAACACCCAGCGTATTTTACTTCTTTTTCCCAGTAACTGAGTCCTGATGCAGCATGAACTCAAAGAGGATTCCTTGATTAGATGAGATACCAAGGACATCTGGTTATAAGCCAAGGACATAAAACACCAAACTAAGCTGCTTTCCAAATGAAGCAGATAATAATAGAAGAGATGGGAACATATTATACTATCAGGGTTAAATTAAAGCTAGGGTTCATCGATAAATCTAATTCTGTTTTCACAATCAAAGAATGTCAAATCCCAGTAAAACACCCCGAATGCAGTAAGAGGGGGTCAGCAAGTGAACCAGAAATCCTCCCATGAGTTAGAGGAGGCCTCTGCTGGCTCAGGTTCCCAGTCACAAGACCCAACATGAGGGCACAGGGTCCCGCTGAAACGGCCTTTCTGTTCGAGGAGAAGGGAAGGGAATGAGACTTGAAGAATTACAGTAGACCACGACATACTCTGGGGTTTAAGCATGTGTGCAGGGGCACTGCGATGCACCAGATGACCTTCCAGCAACCCTTCCCACCCAAGCCTGGAACATGTGAAAAGGAAGGACTAGCACTGCCTGGGCTCAGACAAAAAGAATTTATGAGCAGGCCGCGAATGGAATGTGGCACAACTCCACCTTCTTAAGATGAACTTTTTCCGCTGGCACGAACAACAAAGTCAGAGAAAGTCAGGGAGGAGAGGAGCTAACGCGGAGGGGAAGGACGCACACACATACCCGTTTCTCCATCTCCAGCACTGCTGAGCGGTCAGACGTCTTCTCTTGTTTCTGCTGGTGCAAATGGAAGGAAAGAGTTGTGACTTAAGTTGTCTCAAGGCCAGTGGAAAGCTCAGTCCAGGTCAGCTTCATCATCAGACATCCAGAAATAGATGGCAGGGCTTTGGACTTGCCCTCTAGAAGGGGTCTCTGGCAAACAGATCCTGTTACCTAACATTCTCTGCCTCTCTGAAGTTTGCTGGATTCCCACTGGGTTAAGGAAAGCAGGTAAGTACTGCTCTCTGAAACTGAAAATATTCACAGGTACAGAGACATCACACACAACACAATTCATCTTTGATGCTACCTGTTGTTGTTATGTGTCATCGAGTCACCTGTGACTCACAGCGACCCTATGTACAGCAGCTCCGAAGCCTGCTCTGTCCTGGGCCAGTCTCACTAACTCCCGCTCAACAACCCCCATTGCCCCAGTTACTGTGTCAATCCATCTCATCTAGAGCTAAGTACTGTCCTATATACCCCACCGCCCCTCTTTAGTTTTCTATTCTATAAGTAATTTCAAAACCTAGGGGAATTAGGGAGCTCTGGTGGCCTAGTGGTAAGAATCTGAGCTGCAATCCCAAAGACACGTGGTTGAAATCTGCCAGGTTCTCCACGGGAGAAAGATGGGCAATCCCCTCCCATGATTACTGGCTCTGAAATCCAGCTGGAGCGTCAGCTATAGGTGGATTCTAACTCAATGGTACACAAAAACAACAATGACAGGGACAATTAAAAGTGGCCTTTCTTCTTTAAAAGACTAGAATGTGGGGTTCATGGTCAAAGGGTCTTCATGGAACTTTCTACATAACTCCTCTCCCCCTGGTCTTTCTCTTTCAGAGGAAAGGTCTTCACATTTGGGTAGGTTCCCAGGAGTTCTTGGGACCCAATCTCAGGGTCTGGCTTGAACGGGCCAGTTTTTACTCGAACGAAACTGCATGCAACTTAAAAGAAAACGGGAAGTTTTATTTTGGATCAACAACTTTTAATTTAAACGAAATATCACAGAGGAACTAAAAATGTTGAGCCACCACAGCTAAAAATGAGAAGCCGCTCCGGTTATGACCCTGCTTTAACGGGAAATGGAGCTGAGGTGTCAAGCCCCTTCTGGCCTTCGCATTCTACAGCTGAACTGACTTTAGTTTAATTTTTTTGGCTCAGAAAGATTAGTGGGAGAGGAGTTATACAGAAATCCAATAAGCATCTGATAAATATATGCGCTCATTATTCTTTTTATTATGCCGAGCGTCAGGCAGAGAACCTGCTGTAAATACAGAAATCACGCTGGTCTTCTTGCCCAGGTTTCTTTTTCCTCCCCCCTTTCAAATAATGAGCAGCCACCAGAACTAACAATAAAACTTGGATTTGGGGCTTCAGCCCTTGGCTTTCACCTCCTGCCCTGCAGGTCATGGCGGCCTGCCTTCATACCACATCTACTAAGAAGCAGAAGGAAAAGAAAAAGACAAATTACAAGTAGATCTTGTAGCTTGCTCACAATCCCGTCTCTTTGTGAAGGCTGGGAAGCTGTGATGATTTCACTATGTTCAAGGTTCACTTTCCCAAAGAACAACCAGCTTTTTTTTTTTAAAATTTAACCTCAGTAGAGTATGTGTGGACCTTTTATGTAAAAACACTGTGTGTGTCCATGTGGTAACAGTCGCCATACAAACATGCAAAGATGACAAGCCAAACAACTCTGTGTTTAGTAAACAGTAGAGACTAGGTCTGTAGCATCAGCACTTCTTTTGAATTTCAGTAACTTATATTTGGCAAAACTAAGTATTATCTGACACACCCAGGAGAGCAGCTGGCTAGAAGTAAATGCTTTCCCCCACTGACTAGACAGTCGGCTTTCATTCTCAATGCCCTCTGTGCAAGTCAATGCCAGCAGCTTTTGAGCTGCTCCCCACTATCGAGTGTGCGTGGGCTGTGGGGAAGTCAGGAGGCCAGTGGGCAGTCACAGTTCCTGCTGCACAGGGGGTGGGATCAGGTGGGGACGTGAAACCTGGTTCCCTACACGACCAAGTGGTTCTTCACTTCCTATAAGACAGCCCTCGTAGTAACTAATGCTGTTTCTGTTCCAAGGCTGAACCAACTCCCAGCTGACCTGCCAGCAGGTTTTCAGAGGCAGTCAATCACATGGGAGGAGACTGCCCATCCTTCTCCCTCAGTAACTAAGGAGATCCAGCATAATCTCTGCCTCTATTAGACACTGCCAATATGTGATATGCCAGTATGTGACTAAAAAGTCAGCAGACTGGGGTAGGTGTGTGAAGGAATAAGCAAGATTCAATGGAGACTTGAAAAGATGGGGTGATAACAGGCATAGATCTATAGTAATTAATTATATAAAATACATGTAGTGAGGAGAGACCGGTCCTTGGAGAGGGACATCATGCTTGGGAGGGTGGAGGGACGGCGCAGGAGAGGAAGGCCCTCTATGAGGTGGATTGATTCAGTGACTGGAGTAATCGGGATGGGAGTGTCAGAGATAGTACGATTGGCACAGGACAGAGCGGAGTTTAGGGCTGTTGTACATAGGGTCGCTATGAGTCGCAGGCGACTCGACGGCACATAACAACAACAACAACATATAATGATTGTATAAAATACAATGTAAATGAAAGCCTGTATAAAATACAATGTACCTGCATGAAACATGATGTATATGAATGTGTACAAACCAATAAAAACACGAAATAAAAAAGTAAAAAAAACCCAAAACCAGTCCTGTATATTTTCCAAGTGTCCACTGTGAATCAAATTGTCCAGCTGTTAATCAATGGTTACAGTTTGAACCTACTAACAATCTACAAGAGAAAAGATCTGGAGATGTGCTCCCATAAAGACTGTACTATTAACAGTGTAGTCTGCAGACATGACGGTCTACATACATCCTACTTTGGTGAGTAGCCACCAGGGCCTTACAAGTTTTCAAGCAGAGATTTAAGATGCAACCTTAAATGTATCTCCCTTTCTGGAACAATGAAGAGGGAAGGAAAAGAAGAGGGGGGAAGGTATAAACAAGCAATTAGTCCAAAGGACTGAGGGACTGCATGAATTTCAACCTTGACAAGCCTGAGAGCAGAAGAACTCAATAGGCCTGAACCACTGCTCACTGCCTTAAAAGGGGTCATAGCAGAATGTCCTAGACAGAGAAAGTGAAACATAAAATTCAAAAAAGAGAAATGCTCAGGCTTTCTACTCTGACGGGGACTGGGAGGACTCCTCATAATGGCCTTTAGTTTCCCTTTGGACCTCAAACAAAACTAATTTCTGTTGCTTGATTTTTAGCTAAACACTTGACAGGCCCTTAAGATGTATGACGACCCCAGGATGGTACCCATTCCTTCTGAGAGTCAATCCCCCACACAAGAGAAAAAGGGCCACACTGGCCCTGTGACAGAGCTCAGGAGCAGGAAGGGGTAGGAGAAAAGATTCATGGAATGAGAGTTAACAGGAAGAAGCAAGAAAAACATGGCTACGTTGTGGAAAATGTCACTAATGGCATAAAAGGTACATGAATGGTTGAAGGGAAAACCAAATTTTTTTTTTCTGTAAACTTTCCCTCAACCCACACACATGTATCAAAAATGTAGCTACAAAATCCTACAGAACAGTTCTACGCTGTCATATAGGGCCCCTGTGAATTGGAATTGACTTGACAACATGCAACAACAGCTGTGAACAAGCATGCCCAGGTAGTGCAAATAGAGTGCGTGGCTAACCAAAAAGCTCGAGGCCTGGGTCTACCCAGGGGTAAGGTCTGGAAACCTATTGGAAGGAAATCAGCCAATGAAGATCTATGGAGCAGAGGCACACTCTGACACACATGGGTTTGCCATGACTTGACGCCATGCAGCAGCTCCTGGGACACCAAGAATACGACATTCTGTGTGGCTCCATCATGCTGGGCCAAGGGACCTTGAGGCCCATTCTTCTAATCTTATGGCAGAGTTACACCTCTGTGAGTGTGTTGTTGGTTTAGAACCTAGGGAGCTCTGGTGGCCTAGTGGCAAGAAGCTGCACTGCAATCCCAGAAGTATGTGGTTTGAATCCACCAGATGCTCTGCTGGAGAAGGAAGGGCAATCTCCTCCTGCACCAGTCAGATCTGATTTGACAGTACGTACAAACACACATTAAAAAAGATCAGTAGATTTAGTGACCTACTTCTCTAGTTCCACTGAGTCACTTTAAGCCCTACGTGTAGGCTGAGAGTCAGGGTTCAACCAGTACATGCGGGCAGAAGGGACCACCTCTCCCAAACCTGCATAGAGCTTGCAGGCAGGCCATCCACTGGTGCCTGACCAAGCCCTTTCCCACAAAGTGCTGGTGTCCTGGCTGTCTGTGGATTGCTGGGATTCCGTGCAATTTTGGGGTACTTCCAAGTGTTGCCACTGCCTGGCTGATCCTATTCCAGAGGGTCAACAACAACTGCTCAGAGGGTACTCAACCCATCTGCCTCCACACCCCCATGGAGTAAGTACTGCACAACACTAATGTTTTAAGTTGTGCTTTAGAGTTGTATCCTGTGGCCCGAACTAACTAGCCAATCTTGGGTTTCGTTTCCTGTCCTCCTGGTCAAGAGTCATTTCCCCCTCAGCTCTCAGAATTCTTAGTTCCCAGGCATTTCAGGAGGGCTGTAACTCAATAGGCTTCCTGTTAACTCAGCAATAACCTACGGCAGAGGTCTTTTAGCTTTCAGCTGCAGGGTTTGTCTCACGGGCAATGAGGTTATTACTGCCAGCACCGTCTCAGGCATCAGCTCGTTAAATCAGAGCTGGTGGTAAGAGGAAACAGTTTATCTGTCTCTCTGCCACCGACATTCTTTACTCCTAGGCTGAGCTGGCTTGGGGAGACCATAGATTCAACAGATAGAATCTTTGCTTTGGGATGTAAGTCCACCCTAGTGCACATTTGCCATGCATTCGTTATCTGATCTAAGCAAACCCCTTATTTCTCTAGGCTTCACTTAAACGGCAGGGAGCTCTGGTGGCCTGGTCCATAGGGAGTTGTGCTGTGGACCCAAAGGTGGCATATCTCTGACGGTTCAAATACACCAGCGGTTCCTGGGGAGAGAGATGAGCGGTCTCAACTTGTGCGATCTGCAGCCTCCGAGAAGCTACCAAAAGCTGGTTGGGAGATGATTTTACTTGACAGCAGCGAGTGAGAACTGTGGTGTGGGTGACGAGCATGGAATATACCATCCCTGGAATAACTCCGTTGTGGGTGAAATGCAAACAGGGTGTCCATTAGACAAGGATGGGGAAACCGGGTCTCACGTACTTAGGGCATGCTGTCAGGAGGGGCCACTCCTTGGCTAAAGACATTAAGATGGGAAAGCTAGGGGGGTCAATTAAAGAGGGGAAGACTCTCACGAGAGAGACTGACACAGTGAGTGTAGGAGCAGGCTTGAGCACGGTGGGAACTGTGAGGGGCTGCAGAGCAGGGTGACGTTTCAATCTGCTGTGTGTCACAGGTTGATGCCACCTCACAACCACAGCAACCCCAACAATTTGTGGCTCTGTCTGCACCAGGCTTAACAGTGTCTTGCATATGCCTCTCCAGCAGGTGATGTGTAGACAAACTAAAGCATAAGTAATAAAGAAGCAGCTGTTCAGGACCACCTCTGGCGTACACTGTAGAATCCAGAACTTGAGATAATTCATACTCATTTTGAGCTTTCAAACCAGCTGGACTTGCCACTGAGCTATCAATTTTCAATTTAAGTTGTCATGTGCCTTTGAGTTAGAACCGACTCACAGCTGCCCCTCTAGTGGGTTTTCAAATGTTGCAAATCACACACAAGGAGATTGCCCATGATTCTCCATTGAAGCATCTGGTGGATTGGAACTGTGTTAACTGGATCCTAAAATAAAATCAGGATCCAAAAGGCTTCAGCCACACTGTCCTGAGACCCAGCTCTGACGAGCTCCCTTTCCACCTCTGGTTTGGGGCCGGTTTGCCCCCTGTTCCCCCTGCCCCCTTACCTGGGCCTTCTCGAGCTTTGATTTCACATCTGCCAGCTCCAGCTGCGCCTCCTGCAGTTTCGTTTTCAGCTTTTGGTTTTCCGTTAGGGCACTCTCGTAGAGCTGGAGGGACACAAGAGGGAGAATCAGGGCACCAACTAGGTGAGGCTCCCACAACCGAAGCCCCCAGATTTCCTGCATAGGAGGGGGGTTTAGGTGCTCTGGCCCAAGCTGCTGCTGTCTGGAGATGAGGAAGATGGAGAGGGGAGGGAACCCAGTGTCTCGGTCTCTTGCTTCGTGACAGTGAAGAAGCCCCAGAGGCTGAGGGAGAACAATTTTCTAACTTCTACAATGTTAGCCACGAGTGAAAATGGTCTTTCAGTTTACTCTTCTAGGGCATCTGCACTGATTAAAAGTGTGGCTTGCACCTCCTCATATCAGATTCATAGGTGTATTAATTTTAGTCAAATTCTGCGTAACAAAAATTTTTTACAACAAGAACAGATTTCCAGAGGTATCTCGAAAACAAGGGGGAAAGTGGGCAAGCCTGCCATGGGGGTTGGAGGTTATTCTTTTTTTTTTTTGAGGTTATTCTGTAAGAACCACACACACAAAATAATATCTTACAGCAATTTAAGCTTTAGCCAAAATCAGAATTATTGTTCTTTTAAGGAGCCATGGTGGCATGGTGGTTAAGTGTTTGGCTTCTAATCACAAGGTCAGCAGTTCAAACCTACCAGCTACTTTGTGGTGGAAGGACACAGAATTCTGTTTCCATGAAGATTACAGTCTTGGAAACCCTATGACTGTGAAGGGTATTTAGTTGATATTCACAAGTTTTTTTATTAAAAACATGCATGTTAGAAACAAGAGGGTTCACTAAGTAATTCATACAAAAAACCAGTAATTTCCTTCTTTGACAATTCTTAATTCCATGCTATTCCCAGAACCTCTCAATATCAGGTTTGAAGGTACATATTTACTGTGCACTAAAGCAATGCTTAAAGGATGCTTTAAACAGATTTTTACCAAATCTTGCAGTCCAAAATTGACTGAACAGGCAGTCAAGATGCATTAATGACAACGGGTGATTGGGACGTAAAGGTTGGGGACAAGGAAGAAGGTATGGTAGTTGAAAACTATGGACTTGGTGACAGAAATGAGGCAGGATGTAGAATGATCAAATTTTGCATGTTTAATGATCTTTTCATCGCAAATACCTTTTTTAAAAAAACATGAACGGTGACTTTACTCATGGACATTACCCACTTTCAGGATTGTCGTGTAGTTTTTTTACCACTAGGGCTCATATTCATTGGCCATGTTGCTAGGAGAGGCTATTTCTTGGAGAGGGACATCATGCTTGGAAAGGTGGAGGGTTGGCAAAAGAGAGGAAGACTCTCGACCAAATGGGTTGATAAAGTGACTGCTGCAATGGACTCTAGTGTGTCCAGAAGTATGAGGATGGCACAGGATAGGACAGGGTTCCTATCTGTTGTTCATAAGGTAACTATGGGTTGTACTCAACTTGCTGACACCTAACAACAACAACAACATTGATCATCACTTCAGCCCCCTTTCTTCAACTTCATTAGAATGAGACTCATTTTTATACATTTGTAGAAAAGGCATAGAGGTTTATATATAACCTGAGAACAAGACTATGAAAAAGAGACAGTACTTTTTTGTAATCCCTGTTGCTGTCCTCTTCCACCCGGCTGGTCAGGCTGGCCAGACGGGCCTCCCTGCGGGCCCGTGCAGAAGCACGGTCATAGGAATCGCTGCTTGTAGGGGTGGTACTTCCTGATTCCAACCTGTGGGAAAGGAAACTAAGGGTAAAAATTGCTTTGAGAACAAAGAAGCAGGAGAAAGTAACACTTAAGGGTTGCCTGTTCCCCTCTAAGAAGCACTTGAGGGGCCTGGGAAGAAACAGGGCACAAATTCCCACCTCAAATCTTCCTGCCAGCATTCCAGGACCTCCTGCCTAAGCTGAGCCAAGAATGGAGCTTACTTGAAAAATTAGTGGTTTGGACCCATGTCCTGACTTAAATCTAAGAGCTTTTCAAATTAGTTTAGGTTTGAGCAGTTTCCTTCAACAGAGTATGCTTTAAGAGTAAATATTTCTTGGATCTCAATGGCTCTTGGAAACTTATTCCAACCAACTGTCAATGAATCAGAAACATATGGACTTGGAGGTCTGCTGGAGGGTGAATGGGGGAACTGGGAGGGTGGATGGAGGGAGGCTGCACCACCACACACTCTTCAGGTGCCCTGCAAGCTTTTTTGATCCTAAACATCTCCGAGGTACCATTATAATGCCCAAACAGCTAGTTTTCTTCTCTCTTATCTCTATCTTCCTCATGGAGATTATTATGCCTGTGATTAGGATTTCGACACCTTCCAGCAATTCAGTAACTCTCTAGAGTTAATGCTGATTTTATTTTCAGTATCAGCAAGATCATTAGGAGCAACAGTCTCCAGGCTGACAAAGTGGACACGGAGACTCACTGTTTAAGTGTTTAAGTGCATCTTGATCCTTAACATTGGTTTTCACTATTCTCAGACTTTGCTCTCCAGGGTAAAATTTGGCCCATATCAAATTTCTGTATATAAAATACAGATCATAAAAGCAGTGCTCCAGATCCTGGAGTCGGATGGTCTGAAGAGGCACAGCTGGGGAACGTGCATGTGACGTCTCTATCTTATGGCAGCTGGTACCAAAGTAGGGGGTGCGAGCAGGGGTTGAAATAAGCACTAGAAGAGGTGGGGGAGCCTTAATAAGAACAACATGAAAAGAAATAATGAGTGCTTATAATGACGTTAATGGTAGCACTGGTAGCCCAGGGATAAGGAGATGTGCTGCCATCCCACAGGCACATGGTTCGAATCTACTAGTTGCTCCACAGGAGAAAGATGGGCAATCTCCTCCCGTGCAATTTACTGCCTCTGAAAAGCTGTTGGATGGTACACAACAACAATGACATTGATCATTATCACAGAGACACTAAGTCCCATAGAATTTGTGTCTTTTAAAATTTTTTTTTGTTTTTGTATACAGAAATCTCTTTATTTTCCTGACTCTAAAAGTAATGTATGCTTGTAAAAAAATTAACAGTAAAATACATAAAGTTGAAAGTCATCTCAACTCTGGTCCAGTAAATAACCACACTTAATAGATTAGTTTATATTCTCACAGGGTTTTAAACCAATAAATAAATGTTAAGATAATCACTTGCATAAGTAAAATCAGATAATACATAATGATTTTTTAACTCCTCCTCTCTGTATATCAGTGTAATTATAAACACTTTTAAGAACATAAAAGCAGATTTGCCTCATGCGTACCTTATAGTATCTGATTATATGATAATTTATTTCTTAATCTATTGATAGACATTTCTATTGTTTCAACAATATTAGCTACTTATTAATGATGCTAAATGAACAAACATTTTAATAAATCTTATGGAATTATTTCCTTATAATTAGATTTGTTTATTTAAGAGGTAAATATAAGTTAATATTTGGAAGCAGGAGTGGCATCCACTTCCTAAGCAACTTGCCTCCGGAAACTCTATGAACTTTGATAAATGCTGATAGTTGTAGATGGGCTTCAGGCCTTTTGGTCACTATGAGTTGTGCTCCACGTAAAGGCAATCAACAACAACAACAACATGTTAATACAGAGCAGCTGGTGGCCTAAGGCAAGAAGCTGCCCTGTAATTTGAAAGGCTCACAGTTCAAATGCACCAGCTGCTCTGTGGGAGAAGGATGGGCAATCTCTTCCTGTGCAATGAACTGTCTGAAAACCTGCTGGAGGGTCAACCATAGAGTTCAGACTCTTCAGTACACAACAACAACAACTACTACTACTACTTATGATCATGTATATAACCATACCACTTCCCCCCAGACTTAATTCTTTGCAATCAACTCAAGAAATATATCATCTCACTGACATTAATTTAATATTTCTAAATCATTAGTGAGAGTTATCTTTGGCTATTTATTCTTCTTTGTTTCTGAATTAGTCTTTGTTTAGTGAGGTAATCATTTTCTTCTTGTTTTAGTAGGGGGGTCTTTTATATAGTATAGCTCTTACAAACTGCCTTTTAGAACTTTTTTGGGTTTTCTACCCATCTATCTATTTTTGAAATAGTACCTTGACAGGTTAGGTACTACCATTTAATTGTGGATCGAACACAAAACCTGCACCTAAATGGTACTCAGTAAGAAGTTTCTGAATGAGCTAAAAGACTTGTTTGACACTTGCTGAAAAATTAAGGAAGGTTTTCGGACTTTATTATAGTTAGGGGGATGGCCCTCTATAATTCTAAACTTACTGTCCAAAGGTACAAAACTGACCTTGAAAAATAAAGAAGAATATGAAGCCAAAGGTTGAAATCTTTCCTTTTCTACTGTTCTTTGATGGAGGAATGAAGAGGAGATTGTGGCAAGATGTAGTTATAGCAGAGCAACGGAATATCGTTTACTGGGTAACTGAGCTGGTTCCACCTTATGAACATATTCTACAATGTAAAAGCTTGTGTGCATTCCATTCCTCCTCTGCTTACTCTTACATCAGGCACAAGCCGGGGATAAATGACTTATTTCTAACACAGAAGAAATGTTGAAGTTTTGCTTTTGTGAACTTTGTTATACGACAATGGTCATTTGTGAAAAGAGATTTTCATGACAGATTTTTTAAAAAGTTACAAAAGGCAGCTTTTCAGCTCAGTGGGGACAGGAGTGTTCACTAAGTGAGACAGCTGACTGTCTCCCTGGAGGAAGAGTCTTCCTTTTAGTCACACAAGAAAAAACAGATTATGGATGGATTGCAATTATTAAGAGAAAAAAAAATGTTTTGTCACAAAAACAGCAGAGACTGTAATCTTTATACAAAATGTACTTTCTCAAATATGATACCATAAAGGTTAAAACTGTCAGGTTTAATGAAGTAAAACTTAAAATCCCTGCTAGTAAAAAATATGACAAACAACAACAAAAAGCTAAGGTACAAAATTATGTGCAACCTCTGTGAGATGCTCATAAGATTTCTGCCAGGCAGACACTGGCGGCATGGTAGGCTGCATGCCGGGCTCCTCAGCCAAAGGTCAGCAGTTCAAACCCTCTAGCTGTAATGCGGGAAGACTTAGCGCCTCTGAAACCTGCTAGAGTGCTGCCACAGGTTCAAAGTGACTCAGTGGCAGTGGGTTTGGGGTTTGGATAACCTCAAGCGCACTCCTTCTAGCTGGGCTGTAATAATGTCTTCCCAGACCACCCGACTCAACTCACTGCCGTCGATTCGGAGCATGATTACAGCTGACTCCGTGGGGTTTTCAAGGCTGTAAATGGAGCAGGAGGAGACTGTTTTCCTTCCACAGGGGGACGTGAATAGGGCAGAAAGGCGTCGCCTTTGAATCAGCAGCACATCTCCTTGGAGCATATGCCACCAGGGCTCCTTTCCCAGAACCACCAGGCTAAGCTAACTGCCTGACCTCTGTGCCCATAATACCTGCTCTTGGGACTTAATACATGCAGCTGAGATTATCTGCCTTCCCAGTCATTTATGAGCTACCTGACATTAAGAGCAGTGTCTAATTCACATTGTTTCCCTAGTTTCTGACACAGTATCTGGTACACTGATACTTTAGGAAAACTGTTAAGTGCCATCGAGTTGGAACCCACTCATAGCTGGCTCTCCAGTGGGTTTTTAGAGGCTGTAAATCACCTTAGAGGATAATGCACATCTTTCTCCTACAGACCAGCTGGTGGATTTGAACTGGCTGTTCTGGGTTTAGCAGTACAATTCGTTACCCACACTGGAATTACACAAGATGAGCGGGAAACGGAAGACTCTGGGAGTAGGAAGGGGAACTAAAAAGCTATTGCATTACTTTAAGACAGGAGATCATGAAAGTCTGCGTTATCATGGTAAGTGCAGGAATGATAAGGGAGGAAAGGAGGTGGAAATACTACTAAACACTAAAGCAGTGTTAATCAAACATGCAGTCACACACAAGTATCAAGCATGCATATAAAACGGAGCAAGATCTTACCTAGAAAGTCTTTCATGCTAGAGGAAAGAGGAGACAAAACAAAAAAACAAAGCATTAGGAGGGACTAGTTTTTCTCATTTCCACTTACAAACACATTTTTTAAATCAGAATGAGGTACACTTCACAAAAAGCAATTCAAGCGACTGCGTACCAGGAAGCCCAGCTACTTGGTTTTAGCTCGCACTTCTTTATTATATTCTGTTACCCACTAGGTTTGAACTTGGATGATGACATCTTTTTAAGACAAAAATCAGCAAGTGATAAACCAGAAAAAACCCACACCCAAACCCCACCAAAAAACCAAACCAAAACCCAGTCCCTCTCGCCATGAACACCCCTGTGTTCAATGAGTGACTGTCACTCACTTTCTGTGTGACATTTCGTCTCTCTGGACCCCAATGGTCTTTGTATTAACTTCTTTCAGTTCACAAGCTTGCATAGGTAAGTACTCTAATGAACTGAGTCTAAAACTGGGGGCAGATTCTGGCTTCCTCTCAGATCTCTAACACAAGTGGAGGAGCAAAAGAAACAAGAGGGTGGGGAGTAAGAGACCATCCTAGTCTCTGAGATGTTGGTGGAAATGGAAAAGGAAATGGAAGCACTTTGGGATCTTAGAAGAAATTTATTTCATAGATGCAAATTGCAAACCTGGCTATCTGTGGTCACTGGGAACAATGTGAACAACATACAATGATTATGTCTGTGCTTTGCATTTTTTATCACCATGGTGGTCTTTGTACTCCTGTCCTTCTAATCTTTCTAAGATCTCAGGCAAATCAAACCACAATTCATCTGAATGTATTTCTTTCCTCTGCTGAATCCACAAGGGCAGACAAATGGAGGAACATAAACATGCGTCTGGTAATCTGCATGAATAATAAATCCTTGGCCTTCTGAGAAGTTACTCAATGGCACAGCATTGCTGACACGTCGGACCAGCCCTGGAAGCCAGGGGCACTGCAGGACGCCACACACAGCACACGTGTGGCGTGACAGCACAAGTGACTGACGAGGGACTGAGGATGGTTAACTATGCTCCAAGGTGCCTCGCTCCCAGGAAATCCTTCTCTCTTTGAATGAGGGTTTACAAGAATCACAATTACTTTGTGCGCTTTTTCAAAGTGGATGACACGCAAACCTCAATCCCGGATAGTCTCCTTCAGTGCACTGAAGAGCAGAGCTCTTCTGTACGTACTTTTAAAAATATCCTTGGCTGATTCTGATGTGCAGTCCTGGTTAACATCACTGAAGGAAACTAAGCTTTTGAACATGAAGCCATGACCCATTTCGGATGTGGGAGTAAGACAAGCATATCGTCTCCTTTCTAAGGCTTGCAGATCGGAAAGTCAGGACAACTCTGAATTTTCCCCATTTATACCTTATACCCGATTGTCAGTGAGACCTCCCTAAATCTAGCACACCAGCAATGAGCATCTTATTAACAATGCCTAAGACCATGATGCCATTTTAAAGACCAAGGCATCCCTAATCCAAGCCAGGAGCTATTCAATTGCTTCCCGTGCATCTGAAAGTCGGACAATGAATAAGGATGACAGGAAACGAGCTGAGGCCTTTAAATTGTGCTGTAGGAGAAGACGATAGAATATCTCAAGAACAGCCAAAAGAACAAATCTGTCTTAGAGGAGGTGCAACCAGAGTGCTCCGTAGGGGCGAGGATGGTGAGACTGCCTCACATACTTCGGCCATGCTACCAGGAGGCGCCAGTGCTGGGAAAAAGCTCTAATTCTGGGAAAGGTAGAGGGTCAGAGAAAGAGAGGAAGATCCTCAACAAGACGGACCAACACAGTGACGGTAATCATGGGCTTGAGTTTGTCAGAGCGCAGGAGGACGACGCAGGAGAGGGGAGGGTCCAGATCTATTGTTCACAGGGTTGCTGTGAGTTACAACTGACTCCACAGGCACTTCACGACAAGACTTCTCCTTTTCTTGAAGGCTTTTTATGCCTCCAAAGAGAAACAAAATTTTAATAATAGAGCAAGAATTACTGAAAATTGTAAATGCTTTACATATACAAAAGCAAACTGACTACGCTTACTCACTAGTTTTATGATAAGATTCAGTCTTCTAGTATGTGGGCAAATTAAAATTCACAACCCAGGACAATGGAAAATTGTGACATGCCAAAGACTCATGAATAATTCCACAGCAGCAAATGCCACAGCTCTATTAAATTTAAGAGCTCACTGTGTATAGATTCTGGTAGGGTGGGCATCAAGGAAGAACAAGCAGAATAAGCCACATGAGTGAGCTAGAATAATGTGAACCCAATTAACAAGCTTGTCAGAAACACTGCAGGGAAAACACACACATATTTGCTATGACAATAAGAGTACTAACCGATGGCTTCCTACATAAAGGTTAACGTTAAGATGGTCTTAGTAAAACACATACACCCATCACATACATATGCACAAACACAGAACTTTTCTCTAAAAATAAAAATACTATTACGGGAAATTTCTCTAAAGTTTTTGAAAACCTTACAGCCATAATGGCCCTGTTTTCAGTTACCACATTAGTAACAGAACAGGTGTCCAATAAACACACAGAAGTACTACTGTTTCTGAAAGAAGTGTGATGGCCTTGGCTGAACCTGAACTCTAATTTCTCTTGATATCTTCAAGCCATGTGACCTTGGGTGAGATACCAATTACTTTTGTGGTAAGACTTAGATGTGATAATTATCAGGAATTCTACTCTTAAGATGTCAGGTCCCTCCCTAGTCCCAGCTTCTTCCCCCCTCTTTCATTTTTACATTATAAAGATACTATTATACTGGGTATTGATAATAGAATGTCGAGTTAACCTAGGACCTTTCATCCAAGGAACCAAGTTAATATGCAACCAAATGAGACGTAATTTTGGAGATAATTTCTCTTATTACAAAGATACTGGGAGTGTTTCCTTATAAATATTAATTTGTTGGATAAGATTTAAGCTACTTTTAAATTGTGCTGTGTAAACTCTGGCAGCTAATTTATAAAACACAATGTATGGGAATGATACTATGAAATAAAATAGAGCAGAGGAATGAGCAAAACACAATGGATATAAAGGAAACACAATGTATACAAATCTTGTATGCAAACCCTTATAAATAATTTTTTTAAACAAAAGAACACTTTTTAGATAAGAAACAAATTTTCTTTCCACTGAAACAAATAAGGATTTTATCTGGTTTCCATCCAAGTGTGTGTTGTATGCATGCATATATAAGCCCAAGCTTCTCCATAGGTTCTAATTCACCAGTGGTTCCAAGGGAGGAAGATGAGCAATGCCCCGTGCAATTTACAGTTCTGGAAACCCTTAGTGAAGGGTCAGCCATGAGGGGAGGAGCTCTGGGGGTGTAGCCCACAGGGATTTGCACTACTAACCCAAAGGCCACGCTTCTCTACCTCTCTAGTGGTTCAAATCCACTAGCAGTCCTGCAGGGGAAAAGGTGGGCAATTTCCTCTTGTGTAATTTACAGTCCTTGAAAACCCACTGGAGCTAAGAGTCAGCTGTGAGTTGGTTTTGACGTAACTGTAATACGTCAGATTGATACAGACAGACATGTTGGGGAAGAGAGTAACTATATGTGCGTATGTACATGTACATGTATATGTATATGTATATGTATATGTATATGTATATGTATATGTATGTATATAGGGATAGGGAGAGCAAGTGAGTATGCTCAGAAATGCCAATAATTTTAATTTTAATTTAGTTCTAAAATTATGGTTTGTAATTAAGCTGAAATACAACTAAACTATTGCTGCCTTGTCATCAGATCTAACAAAGTGCTCAGATCGGACAGTGTGGCTGTTTCCTACATGACCTCCAGTGAGGAATGAGGCTGATGTAAAAATAAACACACAGTTTAATGCTACTATGCACAAATCAGAAAAAAACCCCCCACAACAAACCCATGAAGTTCCTGGATATGAAAACACAGATTCTAGAAGGCTTTTAAGAGGTCTAAATGAATTTTTCCACAGATAAAAGGCATGGCATGAGATAATATGAACAGTGTTCAAACTTGCCACACCCGATCTCACCGGATGGTGGTCAAAGGCGCTCCCTAAAGCCAGTCATCTAAAAAGCTGGCAAATGACACTCTCATGTCTGCCTGCCAATGGTAACTAAAAGCAAATACCACAATCTGGTGTCATCATCTTTTTAAATGTGTGTTAACACTTCGTGTTACTTGGCAGGGCTTTTGGGGGGGGCGGGGTAGGGGAGAACTTTTGTGGAAATAAATAATTAGAGATGTAGGCACAGTTTACTAAGACCCAGGTAAAGATCAGGGGAAAGGTGGCTTCCAAAGGAACCCCTTACTGTCCTTCACTTTGTCTACTACCCACCCCACTGCCACCTTCCCCACTGCTTCTCCCTCCAGCGTTATCGGATTTCTGCTGGAATCCTCAGATTTTTAAACTACTTGCTTCAAGGGTCAGTCTTAGGAAGCCTGGGGCAGGTCAATCCAACCAACCATAGAGATTAGCCATATTTGGATGTGATAATTAACAGCATAATTTAAAAGGAAAGAAAAAACCCAAGATTTCCAAAGAAGAAGGTATTCTTACTGCAACAGATAGGATTTCCTCTTAAGTTTTTGACCTAAGAAGAAGATTTAGAATCTAATTCCTCTTCTGATAAAATCAAATGGCTTAAGGTTGTTGTTATTTTTTCCTACTGGTGGATATCTGTGGAAACTACTAGTTTGGCTTTTCAATATCCTGGATAATCTGAGGTTGGATGAAAAACACTGGTTAGATTTAGAGAGAAAAGTTTGGGTTTCTAAGATGAAAGAGCAGAGTGGTTGAACTGGTGGAGGAAACTTCAATTTTCTTTCTTCATCCTGCTGTCACTCAAACTCAGCACCATCACAGTGCGAATGCTGATGTGCTCCCCTCCTAAAAAGCTAACTGCTCCCCATCAGAGACAGCTGAGAGGGTCTGGAGGCCCAGATCCCACCGAGTGGCGCTCCCCTAAGTGTTCTCGGAGCTACAGT